TCTCGCCGGGAGCCTGGGTGCCGTTGTGGAGGAAGAAGGGGAGGGTTGAACGATAGCCAGCACTGCGCCGTCGGTTCGCGGCTCCAGTCCCCGCAGAGATGGTCCTTCCCCCCCGCCTCCATCTCACTCGCCGTTTCCCTCCACTCAGCGCGCAGAAACTCCTCTTCCTCCATCCAACCATTTCGCCACGCCGAGACATCGACATTTTTCCGACCTTGCAGCGTTGTTTCTGAGCTCAGCCCAGGGCGATTAGGCGCACTCCCGGAGGCCGACTCTGTCTGAGCCCCAGCCGAAGTTTGCACCCCGAATATTTTATCGGGTAGCTTAAAGTTTTATGAAGGCCATATCTGTGTCAGTGGTTGTCTAATTTAATGCAAGTGGGCGATCTAATACTCTTTTAACTTAAATAACACACTTTTTTCCCCAAAAGTTTATACTTTTTACTTATCAGTGTCAGTTCCACTTTAGAGATAACGGTCCACAGAGCAGCCTCCGTATATTTCTTAATGGCTCCAAATCTCTTTTAGTAAATTGTAAGCGGATGTTTGACAGCTTCATTTTGGCCCAGCATGTGTTTTATTTTCAACTCCACTTGTGTGTTTGTGGGCGGAACCCCGTGTCGGCCAATCCAGTCAGTCTGATTCAGGGAAAACAAATGACTTTCAGGCTCTCGGCCTTGTTAAACTGTGATGCGTTCACTTGCTGTCGAAAATATTTCATCACCGTACAAGAGCAGTGACAACCGTAGAAACTGTTAAAACTGATTAGTAAAGTCATATGTGGCACTCTCCTGTTTGTCCTAAGTGACAGATAAAGCTCGGAAAAGTGGCTTTATGAGCTAAATTAAAAATAATGAAAAACAAATAGTAAAGTGATTAAAAACTAAAAAAAAGGTAACCTGCAATAAAATGATTGTGAAAGTAAGCAGGCTGAAATGACATTTCAATATTGAGCTGAGTTTAAAACTGTGTTGTATTAGTTCACAAGTTTATGGTTATACTTTTGTCTGTAGTTATTAATGTATGAATATTTATTTCATAATGTTTTATGATTTGTTTAGAAACACGTTGGCTCTGTGTAATGGATATATGGTGCATTTTCCTATGTTGATGGTTTCTGTGTAAAGGATTTGTATTGTTGAATCATATCAATTTTATTTCTTGAGTTTATTCTTTACTTATTTACATTTGATTTAAATAATTGCCAAATAAACTTAACCAAGCAATTTCTGCCTAAAACGTGGTGCTGTGTATAGAGTGTAATTTTTTTTTAATTCCAAGAGTGGTTGAGACTATGTAAATGGTGTTGTCCAATATGGGAGTTCTGAGAAATTGGTGTTTACTTGATATTATTGAAGGCAGCATGCCCCAATAGAACAACCCCCAAGCTCTCACTTGGAGGATAAAATGTGAACAATATGCTGGGAGTGAGTGTGAAAAAGCTGCTTTCTAATAAACTGATTAAAAGAAGCTATTTAAAGAGGGTGTTTTTATTTTCAATAAAGTGAAAATCCAAAGCATGTACAGTGTTTTAGCACACAAACACATCATTTTCAACACAACAAAAGCAATGATAAATTACAAATGAGTTGATTCCTGATTATATCAACAGAACATTGGGCTCAAAAATTCTGTCTCATCATCCACTATCTACTCATTACTGCTCATCTCATTTTATAATCATGAAAGCAATTACACACTTTAAATCATCTTTCTATATATATTGTAAATAGGTCAACTGGACAGAAACAACCTAATTATTTGGTAAACCATACACATTTTATCAAATGAGAAACTTAAACACAATTTAAAACACTTTAGAATAATTAAAACAAAGCCTATGGTATGGGGCAAAAGCAGATGTGATACTCCACGACAAATCATTATGTGGGAAAATAAGAGCTGACTTATACGTTATCAAAGCAGATATGCAGATCTACAATCACTTTAAGTCTATTTTGTTGTTATTCATTAAAAGACAAAAAAATAATAATTAATTTAACTCACATCTTAAGGAAAAATACTTCTCATTTAAAGAAATTCAATGTGTTTCCAGGATCAAAACTAAGTAGTAGTAAATAAACAACCCGGAGTAACAGAAAAAAGGGAGGCTTTTTTCAAGAAACCTAAACTAATGTCATGTGAAAAGATGAAATATGAAAATGAAATGTGGAAAATGAGAAAAGGATCAAGGGTCAAAAACCTAGATTCAGCCACACAAAAGGTTGCATGACTTCTAGAAATGAGAAGTAATTTCCTCTAAAGATAAATAAAAAAATAACAGAACAGTTTGAAATGGCAAAGAGTTGTTTACAAATACACATATTTAAAAACACCTGACATTAAATTTCCACATAATTACTGGCAAAGGAGACCTGAGTTAACTTAAAAGTTTGTGAATGAAGGGTGATGTTTATGGCAGTGGGGACTCATAGTACACATCCTCTCCAGGCTCCTCATCAAATATCACTCTGGTGTCATCGGCATCCAGCTGCAACACAAACACATCCAGTTACAACAAAAAAAACCTACATTTCAAATAGCACAATAAAGTTCTAAAGCCCGAGCTTTGGGGTGAATGTAACAGACACACATAGGTGCTTACACATTTCATCTCCATGAAAGAAAAGATCCTGCCGGTTATAAGCATGCGCAGAGGGATGGTGAGAATAATAACAAAAGGCAGCGCCAGAGAGGCGGGACTCATCTTCACTGCCCACATGCTAGCCAGGCACACGATCTGGATCAGAGTGAATAAATGCATCCGCAGTGGCTTCACCTGCACAGAAGACAGCAGAGGAAGGCATTAGGTGCCAAAATGAACATGAATATTTATAATTTACAATAGGATAATTAACAAGGGGATTGTCCCAGGTTTAGGGGCGCTGAGATATAAGGGAAAATTAGAACATTGATACAATCTAATGTGACAGTGTTGTGCATGGAAGGATTCCTGGTCTTTATTCTCGAAGGGCCCAAAAGCTTTTCTTTGGAGTGAATGCTAACATTTGTTGCTGAAGAGGCAAACATTTACAAAGAGACAGAAAACCCCCACAAACCAATACAGAACAACCACAGAGGTGCAAAAGAAGAAAGGGTGATGAAGAAAATCACTAGAAAGAAACACAAAATGGCCACACAGACATATATTCCAAATAAAAGGCTTAAAACTACCTCACAGAAACACAGAAGAGTAAAAAAGACACAAAAGGACCACAAAGAGGACGCAAAATGATCACAAATTAATGCAAAATGACTGCAAAAAGATGCAAATCAACCACAAAAAGAGACAAAACAACCACAAAGAGACACACAGGGGAACTTTGTCAGAGATATTAGTCCACTGAGTCCCAAGGCAATTATTAGAAATACGTTACTGCACACAAATAAGACACCAAAATAAACTGCAGCCTTCAAAATGATCACAGTGTTCACTCGAGACCTCCTGACACACTGGCAACAAAAAGTTAATACACTAAGCTTAACAAACGGTGCCCCCCATTTTCCTGGTATTTTAGTCTTCTGCATTTTCAGACACTGCATTTTCAAAATACTTATCTTCAGACATAAGAATATACCACATGAACATATAACCAGACTTTAGTCATAAACTCTGTCTGAGGAGGATTCATACCCTGCTGGCGTAGGCATCAGGGGGATAGTATTTCTTTGGTGTGAAGAGAAGAAGTATCCTTTCCCACATCTGGACTCCACTGAGAGAGGTAATACCCATGTAGAGGAAGATGCCAAACAAGGCTGCTATAGGAATCAGCTTCAGTATAGGTTCCATGTAAATAGAAGCACCTGGAAATCATAGAAAATGGATGATTAGTTTAATAAAGTGCTTATTTATTCTACCATGCTGTATCTGTATCAGCACTCTAGATGGCAGCACCTACCAACCAGGATGGCCACAATCAAGCCACTGATCCTTTGCTCTATCACCCTGTTGATCTGTGGTTTCGGGCCCTTGGTCATGACAGTGAGAGCGTTGGCGTGGGTGATGGATCGCACAGTGGTAGCACTCAGCCAGGGCATCCCAAAAATAGAGGCAATGCCTCCCATGATGACCAGGATGAGCAGATCCAGATGAAAACCAGATCCTTTCACCATCTTCCTCTCAGGTTTGCTCACAATCAGCCTGGAGATCAACAGAGACCATTGAAAGAAACATTTTCTTCAAAATCTTATCTTGAATTTTTTTCACAGAGGTAAACAGCTCCATGTTAAATAGAGTGTAATGTAACTCACGTCGTAATCTGGGACTCGAGGAAGATGAGGATGAAGACGAGCAGTGCTGGTATACAGCTGGCGACCATCATCCAGATGGGGAATTTGCCATCCTTTCCCATGGGGTTAATGATCCACTCTCTTTCGCCGGGGTTGGACAACTGAATACCTTTTGGTACAGCCAGTTTCTACAAGTACACAGGATTATTTTTGATTTAGCCAGTTTATCAGCGAAAACACAGCAAGGCGCAAATAGAGGTAGAACCTTGTCCTTGAATAAATAATTCTTGCAGTTTTGTGCTGATGTGATTTGAATTCCTGAACATATAGACTTGAAAAATCATAGAGGATTGTAACTAAGGACACATTGTGTACAAGGAAAGGAGCTTATGTTTGATCTATAGGAACTTAGTTTTAAAAGGTTTAACTACACATTATTAGTACAGTATATCATTATACACCATCGTAAGTACAAACTTATGCAGTTTGTTGACTTGTGGCAACCGCCAAATGAAGGTCATAGTCTACCAACCTTCATATTTATAAATGTGCCACCAGTAACACATCGGTTAACAATGTATGGGTGTGTATTGGAAGTTTGAATAGTGTGATAATCATTTATCATTACATGAATTAAATTCCAGTTATGACTCTGACTTATGATGTAACAAGAAATATCCCGATTCACTCCCACCTTAAATGTGAAGGACTTTCAGTTCATGTCTAAGGTCAAGGTTATTTTCATCATTACTAGTATAAGAACTACAACTAAAAGATAACTGTATTTTTCCAAGAAATGTAAGAGTGTAAAAATGGATAAAAACAGGCAAATGCTGAAAAACAAGCAAATAAAGATCTGATTCTGTTTTTCTTTAGGAATACTAAAAACGGCAGGAGACAAAATACTTTCAAGAAACAACTTATTCAAATACATAATAATGTCATGGGGGGCTCTGTGGAGGAAATGGACATTTTTTCATATTTAATAGTTTAAAAATGATTGAATTTGTCTTTGACCAGTTAACTAGACCATATCCACACCCCTGTATTTGCTCCAAACTGTTAAACAACTGATAGCCTCTGATAGAAAGTCACCTTAATAATATTATATACATTTTCCTTATACTCTGTGCACATTCTATAAAATAAATTACATTTTGTTATGAGTATTTTTAGAAATGTAGGATTTATTTGGCATGACTTAATTGTTACACAGCACTCACCTGAGTGTAAGTATCCCTAATAGCGACATCCACACCAACCATTATGAAAAGAGCAATGGGAACGCCAAAATCTCCAATCAAACGACGAACCTACATAGATAGCAAAGGATACAGCATGATCAGAATCGCAGGTACCTACTTAATCGATTTCTCATTCATAATACTTTTGAGTCATGTCAAAAAAAAAAAAAAACTCTGGGCATAGAAAGTTAATCTTACTTTGCCGGGGAGGAAATGACTATTCTTGAACCAACGGAGGAAGTATGCGATGAAGAAGCATCCAAACATCAGGCACATAGACAACAGGGCAGTGTTGGGGTAGGGAAACGGCTGCTGTGTAGGAGCAGGAGCGGTTACGTTGGGGGTGTGCGTCTGGATGCTTTGTGAGTGGAATGGGTCAGGCAGTGACTCGTTCAGTTTGCCATAGTTCAGGACCAGAGGGTGGTCTTTGAAGATCTGAGTAAGAGGAAATGAGATGTCAGTGGTAGCAAGAATAAAAGACAACACATTAAGACAGTGATGGCGGGAATATGATGACTGTGATGTGAAATAAAGGAATGAGGTGAGGAAACCATGACGAGCTTATAGAAGGTCTCATAGATGAAGATGAGTGAGATGAGGATGGAGAAGATTTCTTGGGTGAAGCGGGAGATGAATCGGACCAGGAAGCTGCCTTCAGCGGCCACGATGATGACTACTATCACTATCAGCCACATCCCCACCCAGGTACGACCAGCAATGTACTCAATATCGAAGGATTTGCAGAACTAGAATGCAGAACAAAAGGTGCTGATGGAGAAATAAAAAGGTTTCTAAAAGAGTGATTTCAGGGGTTTTAACATGACAACTTGTACATACTTTGAAAAAAGCTTCCTCAAACACCAGCAGTGGTCCAGAGAAGCCGATGACAAGGATAGGCTGGGCGGCGATAAGACAGAAGATGATGCCGTGGATGCTGGTGGAAATCATAAGCTCCGACACACCTATCATTTTTTCAGTTTTTTCAGCTAGAGTCAGATAACAGAGAGAATTATTAATCATATTAGAGGTCAGTGAAGTCCTGTAAATGAACTGAACCTGAGAAATCCTACACATTTCTCTCTGTCTTGGACTTTCTTTTACCTAGCAGTCCTCCAAAAGTGATGGCCGGGGACAGGGCAGCGAAGTAGATGAAGATGATGGCAGCAAGCACCTGAGGGTTCAGGGCATGTATGTAGTCGCTGAGGTAGTGGGGGTAACGGCGTTTTATGTCCTTTACCATCCCACCGAAAGGATAGCCGGTACGGGCCAGGGGGTCCTCTTGCGGCCCCTCTGGTCCCTCAGCTGGAAAATCAAAGCACGAGCTATAGTTATATGTTAAGAACACAGTTCTCATATAACCTTTTTGGTTCTTTTAGCAAGGATAATAATGTTGACTGTCCTTTTAAATTAATATGTAATTAGGTAGCTTCAGAAGTGTTTATTATGTCACTTTAGGATAGAGCCAGGTTAGCCGTTTCCGGACTTTGTGCTAAGCTCAACTAACCAGCTGCTGGCAGGACAAACATGAAGGTCATATCAATCTTTTTATTTAATTCTCCAATACCAGAAAGAGAATAAGCATAATTCCCACAATGTCAAACTTTATGTCAAACATGTTTACAAATAAATTAATGAGCTATAATTACTCACAGATGGAAATACATTTTAATCAGTATTCAGTTTTGTAGTACAATGACCCAAAAGCTTCAAAAATGGAGGATGAAACTATGATTTGAAATGTGAGTGCAGATTGCTGGGCACTGCAGGTAGTGTACTGTTTGCTGACCTTGGACCCTGTCGCCAAATGCAAGGCGTGTGTCACTGGGGCGGAGTCTGTCATGCAGCATCTTCTTCTGGAATTTAATGACAGGTTCCAGCAACACCTTATCTTGGATCTCAGTGGGAGGAATCACGATACTGCAGTCCATGAAGTCAGCAATGGCATTGGTCACATCTTTGTCACTCTTGGCCAAGAAAACCTCCAGACAGAACACCTGCACCAAAAGTGATACAGAAAGCCTTTACAGTTCTGCACCAAACTAATGTGGCTACTTTTCATGGGGGGTAGGGTTATGTGAGCTCATTTCTAAAACTAGTTTTCCTCTCTGCCTATTCTCTCTCCTCTCTCACCCAGTCGGCCAGCAAAGCACCCATGGCTCGCCCAGTTTCGCTGTAGTCTATTCCACTATCACTGGGGCCCACCAGCACAAAGATGAAGCGAACAGGGACAGGAGACTCCAGAGCAGACTCCATCACTGTGGAGTCACTCAGCCTGACAAAGGCCACCGCTGGTTTCTGCAGGAAGTCCAGGACACCTATTGGAAACACCACCTTTTATATATATCTGCTTCCACCTGGAGACACATCACTGCATCAGAATTGCATCAACATACCTGAGAGGACAATTGAGGCCTCCACCGTGTCAGAGCTGTCTCTCTGCAAGAATAACGGTGTAATAGTACTTCAAATATCCACTCTGTTGTGGTAATTCATATATGTGTTTTTAATGATTGCTCAGAAGATAAAAAACTAGATAGAACTGAATATAAAACCACAGAATGATACCTTCTTTGTTACAGAAAAGGTCTGCATTTCAATGTCTCCAGAGGGAGTAACCACAGGTTCCTCGGATTGACTGTAAGAACAAATAAAGTAAATATAAAGTGCATGCTGCAACTTTGCGGCATGATTGGCTTGTAAAAATGAGCAGACAAACGGTGGGTCCTGTGAACTACCTGCGCTTCATTAGTAGAGCTCTCAGCAGGTCATCGTGATCACTTCCACGAATCTCCCTCTTGTTCAGCAGCTCATCAGCTACTTTCTCAGCCACGGCAGACAGACTGTTGGCATTCAGGTCGAAGATGAACGCACCTACGATCACGCGAGATTATGTGTTACTGTGCTCTTTTAACTGGTCATGTTCAAGTGATTTAAAACATATAATATATACACTGATTTCAATTTAATCGTTCATTTTCAAGATCACCTGTGCTCATGGTCTTGCGCAGTTGGATAAGACTCTTAAAGGTGAGATAGGAGACATGAGAAGGACCCCATTTTCCTGCAGCCTGGTTAAAGTTCTCCTCATAGCCCACCCAGCGTGCAGTCTCCTGCCATGTGTTGTCCACGAACTCATTTAGCTCTACATAGGCCTGTGGTAATACAATGTGGTTATATAATAGCCAGTATATAATAGTGAATCATATTAATACGCTTTCACATCTGATAAGAATGTCAACTGACTTGAGCATCCCCTCTGGTGGTGGCGTTGGTGTTAAGGTTCAGATAAGCTGAAATTAAGAGACAGGCAATTGAGGCGCACAGGTTTCAAACATCACATTCTGATGAATTCATTAGTTGCATGAAGTCAATAGAGTTTACCCTCTGAATCACTGGGGATGACAGTGACCTCTACAGGTCGCTCATCTTCCTCCTCTTCCACCTTCCTCCTCCTCTCTAGGTCATAGATGTCATTCTGACCTGGTGGAGTCCTGTGGAGAACCAGAAATGAATAAAACTATGGATGACTTACACCACAGGCTGTTTTTCCTGCCTCTTTAACTCAGCCCTTAAATGATTGTTGTTGTGTTCTATGTTTGCATCTATGATGACTTTGAAACCTGTAACTGTGGTTCGTAAATAACTAAAATCCATTCAAGTAAAAGTCTCAGTCAAGGCAGAGGAAGTTCTCCTTCCGTGGTCAAACTGTGTGATTCTGTTCTTAACCACAAGAGGGGAGAATTGCTCAACCTGTTTCTTATCACGGTCACTGACAGCTTGGCTCATGTGACTTTATGCCCCACAGTTCAGGTTCCTGGGCATTTTACTCACAAACTGTACAAATCCAACCTATTTGCTATGATTGGCTGAACCTTACCCATAGCCCTAACTCTGCTCTCACATTTTAGGGAAATTATTTACCAGTTCATGGCTTGTACTACAGTTGTAACTATGACTATGAATCTTTTTACTAAAGCAAACAAAGTAAAATTCAAGGTAGCTACACTATCAGTCAAACAATTAAAGGTTTGGACACATTTTCCTATTAAACTGAATGGGAAAGTGTGTCCAAACCTCTGACCGGCAGTGTAAAGCCTTCACTGACCTAATGTTATTTGATTCTCTCTATTGTGAAAGTTGATATATGATGAGTTCAGTAAAACCCTAAACATACATTAACTGATTTTTTGCCACTTGCAACACAAACTCTTAACATATTAGTTCTTATGCCAAACATGTTAACAAAAAGATGCTACTTGGCATCCAGAATCGAAATAAGCCTTTATTTGGATTTATGTTTGTGACCATGTGGTCCTATTCACTCTCCTTCAGCCCTGTTTTGGTCTCCACCAGCTCCTGAAGGTAATATCTGCTATCTGTTTCTGTCCATTGCTTTGTAATGGCCAGATAATGGACATAAGCACACAATGCAAGTGCAACCTGCAACAGGTAACAGTCTAACTACTGTAACCACAACCACAGAGAAAACACTTACAGTCTCACTGGAGAGGGGAAGGACATGTCATGGTCTTCAAATGACAGATCACTGCCCTAAAAAAGAGGAAAGTTGAATTAATAGAAGAAAGCAGGATGAACATGGAATGGTGAAGGGAGAATATGTATTATTGCAAGATATATACTGAACAAATCCAAATTTCTAAGTCTCCTTTTCACTTTATAAGAGGCTTGGAGAACAAGTGTAATAAAATGAGTCATAAGAAGGTATTCACCACCATAAAACAAGACTTGATTCTTGTAGACTGCTATTTTCTTAGAACGTTCTTCAGATAATTAGCTTGAATAATACAACATACTGTATGCTGTAGAAATTTTAAAGCTTACTGTTCTACATGTAGCTTTATCTTAATGTTAGCATCAGTGTGTAAATGTTAGATTATATTGCTTATGAGGAAAAAAAGACTAACCTCCTCCAAACTGAAATTGTTTTCCATTGAAATTTTTCAGATGTTGACTTGTCTGTCCTTGTCTGACTTGTCAGCTACTTTTTTGCATTCCCTAAGACCAATAAGGAATGAATGAACATAAAAACAATTTCACATTCAGTACATAATAAACATATAAAATGTGAGATGCACCAAGGCACAAGTGACAAGTTTTTGATATACTTTTAATGCAGACATATAACAATCAAATGTCGTTTTTTAATCTAGCCAGGGTATGTTTTTACTACCACAGTTCCCAATTAGGCCTGCTCGCAGCTTTTTAGAGGCACTTTTGAGTTTACTCTGAGTATTTCTAGAGAGCTGCAGCTCAGCACAGATAACCAATCAGCCGTTGAGAATGTGAGCGATGTTTTAGTTTAAATTGAAGATGCACAGTCTTATCTTTAGAGTTACACCCATCTTCCACCAGATACTTCTCTTCAATTCAGTGAAAAACTAAATATTATGCAGGATATACAGCTATTGTAAACTCAAATCTAGGCAGAAATACACCATAATATACTTATTAATAAATGATATGCTTGCATATAGTTTTTCATGTATTAACTATCAATTTGACAAACAACTAAAGAAAACTGGCACCTTTTTATAAAATTGTAACTGAAAATATTTCTTAGGAAACATTATAAGCAGGTTATAGTAACTTCAGTAGAAAACAGAAAGCCTTCCTGTTACACATTCACTTTATACACAAATGATTAATAGTAATGCTTTGAATAAACAATTTACAGATAAGACATATACATATGAACATATTATGTTTATGAAGACATTGTTGTTTACAGGTAAAATTCTTCACCCTATGAAACTGAGAATATGCTGACATTTTAACACATAGCCATGAAATTATGAAAACGTTCACTGGCTGTTACTTTCCAGTGGTAAGAATTCCGCTTGACCTTGACCTCAAATAAGCAAAAATATAACAAAAAACAAACAACCCCCCCAAAAAAACTTCTCATTGCGGAATACACAGTAAACAATTTGCAAAAGTTAATTTTTCCTTTCTAGAAAGTAACTTCAGAACAAATAAGTAATGTAGACTAAACTCGTACCCTTATCTTGCAAACACGGCAAAGATAGAAATAGGAGAGGTATATGCTGCTTTCTTATAAGGGTGCATCAGATATATATCATGTTTGACCTCTTCCCTCTAGTTCATTAGTGCTATAAATTGTGCCTGACCCCTGCCCAGAAAAGGCCACGCCCCTACCTGCATGCAGGTGCTCCCACCTGGTCTCCAGCACTGGAAACTGGATGATCTCTGTTCTGTCAGCCTAGACAAGTCCAAAGATAAAGTGAGCCAGGACAAATGAAAAGATGAGTACAGTGACAGAAAGAGAAGAGCGGGAACACCCATATGAAACTACGTCAAACCTAAGAAGTGCTGTACCCCACAACCCCTCTGGTTGATGACCAAGTTGGTGGGAGGCGGGGGGGTGCGAGATAAGGCCTGTGTGACAGACAAACAGCCCTATCATCCAGGGACACCTTGAAATGGGGATATCCCAGCCCTAGTTTGCCCACTCCGCCCTATCAGCCGTGAACCAGGTCCAACCTCAGACTGCTGCATTAAGAATGACCTGTATGGACCAGCTGAATTAATCTTGTCAGAGGGGCACACAGGGGCTAGCGAGGGTAGAGTAGTGGGCAACGCAGTGTCAGTTACTGCGTCATCTTATTTACGTACTGGGGATTCCCCTACGATAAGAGGGGGTTGCTCCTCTTGATTATCCTGACGAAAGATGTGATAAAAAACATAAAACATTTTCCATTACAGCAATCAAACTCACTTGGTTTGTTTCCATAGTAGTACATGCGGCATGGTAGCAAAAGGGTGAGGCATCTTCTGCAGCTGATTGGAGCTCGATGCTGGTGGTCCAACCCATCCTGATGACAGATAGTGACAGTGGTAGCATGCTAACATCTGCTAATTAGCACATAATACTAAATATTGGAATGACTGGAATGCCATTAGTTGTAAACAAGAAGAGTAGGACAGCACACCTCAGGAATAATTGATTTCAACAGAGCACAAAACACAGTGTTTCAGCACCAGCCCTTCCTCAGTGTGCAGACAAACTATTTGACTTATTAGACATCTAGAAAATTTTGGATGGGGTGGCCAGGCTGGGGCACTGACTCAGAGAGGCGTGGTACATTTGAAAAACATGTAAAAAGTCATTTAAACCCCTAGTTCTATGAAACAATAAAGAATATATTATTAAGAATCAAATTATTTATTTCATGTAATAATGAGACACACACATGATGCTTTCTCCTTAGTTATCCCCAGACAGGGACATTACTGGTGCACAATGTCCACCCACTGAGGTGAATCCACAATAACATAATCAAAGAAATGAAAGCAAAATTTAGGCTGCATGCATGATAAAATAAAACTAATTTGACCAATATTAATTATAAAGCATGAGAAAAGGCAACAATTTGTCATTGATTTTCATTTTTCATTCATTAATACTGTCAGCCATCACACTGTGACTCTGGCAGGGCTGGCCAATCAGATTCTGGGAGCGGCCAATGTCACCCATGGCCACCCCCTGGATTCGCCCGTGGACACAGGTGCTGTCTATGACACAAATCAATGCAACATCATAGCCATTAAGAGGACTGGTCTGTTAAACATTTTTCAAACGCTCCTAAATATATGTTGCATAAATTTCATTACAAAGAATAAAACTAAGTAACTTTTTCTAATAAACAAAGATGAACATTGTCAGTTTGTAAAATAAATGACCAGAATAACCTGAATGTATGCAACATATGTTATATTTGGGAACATTCTGACAATGTTTCATTGACACGTCCCATGATGTTGCACTGTTTTGTGCCATATAGGTCACCTCTGTGTAATGGCTCACATTATTTGTCTGCACACCGAGGAAGGGCTGGTGCCCAAAATGTGTTTTGTGCTCTGGTTGAATAAATTACCGCTGAGGCATGTGCTGTCTTACTCTCCTTGTTTATAACTTTTTTTGAGGACATAGCACCCCTGGACTGATCACGTCGTTCCAATGGTTTCATTGGTTTTGCAAGTTGGAATTAGTTTTGCAGTTTTGAATTTGGTCATAAACCGACATACAATACTGGACAGATTAAAATATGACCTGATGATGAACCTAGGTTTATTGTCTCAGGATCATGAATGTGTGTAGCAGTTTTCTTGGCAATCCATTGTCCACATATTGAAGCGCTGCATCCCTGCAATAATACTACTTACCACAGGGAGCAAATATCTTACAAAGGGGGACAGTGAGCCTGAGCTAAAGACACTGTAGCTCAGTACTGTTATCACCACTTGTAGAAGCTATCTGCTATGTCCATGTGTCTCAACACACAGTGTGCAGGCACTCCCAGTCTGCATACAGCCTCTTAATCCAAACACACGTTCAGAATCATTAGCCTTAATATGTTAGTTTTGGAATTTTAAGCATAAGATAGCAGATTAAAATACAAATTTTGTTTTACACATTGCTAAAATTTTTAAAAATGTGTTAACTTAAAGATGATAAAATCACTAGAGTACCTCATAACAGCTAGAAAGGTATAACATAAAACACTTATACAAGAAGCACTAGGCATGTAGACAGAGTGTGATTTAGACTTTTTACTAGTGGTTAAAAAAAGTGAATATTTAATTGGCTGAATCATGACATGTCAGCTGGTGTCTGGCCAGTGTTTCTGGTTGTTTATGATCATCCTGAGTAGTTATTTAAAATATCAGTTGACCAATGAAAAACCACCAAATTCACAAAGTCTACAACTATTCACTGAAAGTTTTCATGAAAGTTGTTATGGCATCAAAACAAAGTAGATTTAATGCAACTTTTATGAGAGTGCACACAAAAAAGACCCTTTGATCTAAAAGTGGGAAAAGATTGGTACAAACTTCCATCCATCCATTAAGTAACCACTCATCCTAACGAGGGTCACAGGGAGACTGGAGCCAATCCCAGATGACAGTGGGTGAGAGGCGGGGTACACCCTGGACAGCTCGCCAGTCTATCACAGGGCTTGGTACAAAATTATCTAAATTAATTACAAATATAAAATACAAAATACATTTGCATACATACTCACTTCATCACAAATACTATATGCCTAAATAATCAGAGGCGCAGCCCAGTGGTTTTAGACTTTGCATTACGAGTTAAATAAAGATAAATTTAGTGTAGACAACTGTAGTATAAACCTGTCTCTTCAGTACTTTTTATAGGCACTGGACATGTTCAAACCTTTTCCTGGAGGACTGACTAAGGCAGCGCAGATGGGCTCTATCAGCATTTGAACAAGCAGGTTGCTGCGAGTTATCACTGACAGCCAGAGTCAACACCAAAGACCCACCTAGTCCCAGTGTGTAACATTAAACTACACAACATACCGTCCATTAACAAGTAGTAAACACGGTGTGGGTCAGCGCAGTGCCACTTCACTCAGTTTAAGTATTACAATTATTCACATTAAAATACTAGTGAAGGCTTTGTCCTGTATAGACTATATTCACAATGATCTCAGTAAGATGTCATCATTGCCACTTCACTAAATCTAATTTCTGTGCTCAGTGGTCTCTGACTCTCGACACAGGAACAAAGATATTAACCTTAAAGATGCTCTTGAGACTTTTGTGTTGGTTAAAAAGGCTAAATTAAAACACTTTTGAGCTTTTGACTTATCTTCATGCTACCATAAAAAAAAAAAAAAAAAAAATCAATCAAGAGTTGTGGCAGTTTCTCACACTTGTGCTTTCATTTGAACTCTGTATTTGACCACAGTGTGACACTATCTTGTTTTTGAACTCTGGTATTCTGGAAGCCAAATGCTGAACACGGCGGTCTTTGTTGAATTTGGCGCCCCTTAGTGTAAACAATGTTGAAAAACACTACATGACTGAAAGATTTCACAGTCCTGCTCATCATTATAAAACTAAGAATGAGAAAATTCAAGTGCAAAATTGATTAAAAAAAAAAAAAAAATTGTTTTCCCAGTGATGAATTAAAACTTTTGTTGCAAACAAAAAAAAAAAAAGAAAATAAGTTTGCATGTAAACTGATTAGACAACTGGACAGTTTTACTCAAATCTTAATTTGTCTAAAACAACATTTGCGTAGGTGCAGAAAGACAAACACTGAAGTGTAAAAATAGCGCTGTGGTCTCCGTCGTGTTCGTCACCTCAAGCTACTGTTGTCATGCAAGCTGTTAAAAACAAACAAAAACCCTGTTGAACGGTGAAACAATTGGTAGTTGCTGGCCACCATTACCAAGAGACTTATTATGTCAGCTGTGAATGTCACCCAAAGGAGCGGCTCTGTGTGAAGGCAGCATACCTGATGGGAATTCTTTGAAATGGGGGAGTGTTGTTAAACACAGCACAATCTTGTAATACCACAGAGAAGAACAAGATTCTTGCTAAACAAGTTTTGTAATGTGGCTATTATGCAAAAGGTTTATGCAATATGTTCACAATGAGAAAGGAGAAGGAACAAGTGACAAACTATACCTTAAATCATTTACACCTTTATTTAAAGTCGTTTTGACAAGTGACAGACCACTGAGTGGTGTTCTTCAGAAGCACTACTGATGACTAGTAAAGTGTTTAAAGCAGTTATGAACTCTCAGGAAAAATTCCCATAGTAATCAAATACTCAGCATAGAATAATAAAGAGGCTTCCTTTATGCAACTACGTTGTTCTGTCCTAGCATTCACTAGAAGCTGGTAACTGCACAAGATAAAGAGCAGAAGGCAAAAACAATAATTAGGCAGTTAGCGAATTCCAGGTAATTAAGTGATAAGAACGTAAAAGTAAGCTCCCTCTACTCCAACATCTCCTCTGCGTCTCTGTACCTATAAGGAGGTAATTCCAGGAATGAATTCATCATACCACAACCTTTTCATTTGAGGCTACAGTAATCATTAACAGCCTGGAACACCACTATGAGAACAGAGAGGAGAGATCGATGCTGGAGAAGTTTGGTGATCTGCATCAAAGAAAGCAGCAAGTGGTCATAGTGCATCTCAGTTAGACATCGTTGTATCCCAGCCTGTTTTGTGTCGAGGTAAACCAGAGGTGACACTGGATGTTTACACTTGCATGGGCCTGTCTTGATGCTGCTGCTATTAAAGCAGATCAGGGAGGTTTACATTATGACGCATGGTGCCCGGCTTTTGGTGATCTTCGGCACAGGTTTTCCTTCTTGGGCCATTTTGATTGCATTCATAACCTGTGGCAGGAAACATAAATGCAGAAACAAGAGGGTGTTACTCCTGTAATTTATATTTTATGGGCAGTTTGTGTGGGTGTTAAGCCTGCAGGTTACGCACGTCCTCCTCATATGGGAAACCACCAGTCTCAAGCTTGGAGAAGACCAGCTGCCCGTTGATTACAATCTCAAAGCTGCCTAAAATAGAAAATAATAAAACGAGACAACATCACCTGAATGTTCTCTGGTGAGCTCTTTGCATGAGTAATACGAGCCTACACATCAACAACAAAAGGATCAGACACAAACAAATTTCGGCTCAGACTTCCGCTATCATATCCTCTTTCAAGCTGAAATCACACTTACTTCTTCTTCCCACGAAGCCTGACACATCCGCATCGGGAAACTCATCCTTGACAACCCGGGCGAGCTCCCGATAGCGGGGTTCGTATCCTCATCCACCACTAGATTGAAAAATACACGTATTTTAAATACGACTAGCAAAACACACCGTGTCTGCTAATAGTGCTGCCTTGTCACTGAGCATAGCTTAAATGTTAGCCCCGAGCTAACGACGCTAAAGGTATCTTGCTAATTTACATCAAGCCTAAATTAACTGGGGCAGGCTCATACAGAACCGAGTTAGTTGACAACTTAACAAAATAAATATGAGTAAATAAAATATATATCTACCAGTATTCAACTTTAATTTCCACTCCCATTGCGTCTGTTTGTCCAGCTGCGTGCCCAAGCTCTGTTTGGTTTGGTGCTACTGGAACACTGACCGGAGAGAGGGGCGGCGTGTAAACTGAAGACTTCTGTCAGAACAGCGGAAATTAGTCACTCTGACACCAAAATAAGATAACTTTATTTATAACAACAAACGGCGTCACTCAAGGCAGCAACAAAGATTTTTGTAGCTTGAAGGAAAAACCAAACAAACAAACAAAAAAACTGGTTACTCACTAGCCAATACAGTAGGCTACAGTAAACATTAGGGTACACATGTCCAAATCCAAATACTTTGAAAGGCATCACAGGAAGCCTTATCTTTTAACCTCTTATTTTAAATTTAGTCAAATATGTACTTAAAAGTGGTTGAACAAAATATACTTAGTTCTGGTCTATTACTACTGGACCCCACAAAAGCTCAGTGATTATTATTCATAGAAAACTAAGTCATATTTATCTTGATTGTTGTTAATTTTTTTCCAAACACAATGTCCCATATTTGTAAAGTTACTTAATAATGCTAAGAGTTCTATCAGTGTTACAAAAAGTAAGCTATACACCATGAACTATCTTTCTATCTGTCACGTTCAATAGAAATTTCTGTTTTGCTCATTTTCATTTTACCTTAAACCTGTGGTGAACTCTATCCACACAGAATATCTGAAGTGCTTACTCAGCAAAAGATAGCACAAACTGTCCTTGAAAAAGTATGCACTCTTTGATTCTGTGTGTCATCTAAGGACAAACACAGATCTGCATTAAGCCGCTTTATTTCACACTCACTAAAGGTTGCTCATTTTATCACATAAAAGAAGATTTTTTCCATAACAACTTGGTGTCAGAAGTGGGATTTCTCGTGTGATCTTCTGGGACGAGCTGCGGCCAGTGACTGGTCGTCCTGGAAAATAAAGACTCCAGCCCCTAAACCTCTGAATTATTATTATTATTATCGAGTTTGATTTTCCACACGGGGATGATTACAGTGGTGTGAAAAAGTGTTTGCCCCCTTACTGATTTCTTATCTTTTTGCATGTTTGTCACACTGTAATGTTTCAGATCATCAAACAAATTTAAATATTAGTCAACGATAACACAAGTAAACACATCATGCAGTTTTTAAATGAAGGTTTTTATTATTAAGGGAAAACAAAATCCAAAACTATATAGCCCTGTGTGAACAAGTGTTTGCCCCCCTGTCAAAACACTGGTTTATCGCACCTGAGTTCAATTTCTCTAGCCACACCCAGGCCTGATTACTGCCACACCTGTTCGCAATCAAGAAATCACTTAAATAGGACCTGCCTGACAAAGTGAAGTAGACCAAAAGATCCTCAAAAGCTAGACATCATGCCGAGATCCAAAGAAATTCAAAACCAAATGAGAAAGAGAATAATTGAGCTCTATCAGTTTGGAAAAGGTTATAAAGCCATTTCTAAAGCTTTGGGACTGCAGCGAACCACAGTGAGAGCCATTATCCACAAATGGCGAAAACATGGAACAGTGGAGAACCTTCCCAGGAGTGGCCGGCCGACCAAAATTACCCCAAGAGCGCAGCGACAACTCATCCAAGAGGTCACAAAAGACCCCACAACAACATCCAAAGAACTGCAGGCCTCACTTGCCTCAGTTAAGGTGAGTGTTCATGACTCCACCATAAGAAAGAGACTGGGCAAAAATGGTTTGCATGGCAGAGTTCCAAGACGAAAACCACTGCTGAGCAAAAAGAACATAAAGGCTCGTCTCAGTTTTGCCAGAAAACATCTTGATGATCCCCAAGACTTTTGGGATAATACTCTGTGGACAGACGAGACAACAGTTGAACTTTTTGGAAGGTGTGTGTCCCATTATGTGTGGCGTATATGTAACACCGCATTTCAGAAAAAGAACATCATACAAACAGTAAAATATTGGTGGTGGTAGTGTGATGGTCTGGGGCTGTTTTGCTGCTTCAGGCCCTGGAAGACTTGCTGTGATAAATGGAACCCTGAATTCTGCTGTGTACCAAAATATCCTGAAGGAGAATGTCCGGCCATCCGTTTGTGACCTCAAGCTGAAGCGAACTTGGGTTCTGCAGCAGGACAATGATCCAAAGCACATCAGCAAGTCCACTTCTGAATGGCTGAAGAAAAACAAAATGAAGACTTTGGAGTGGCCTAGTCAAAGTCCTGACCTGAATCCAATTGAGATGCTGTGGCATGACCTTAAAAAGGCAGTTCATGCCCGAAAACCTTCCAATGTGGCTGACTTACAACAATTCTGCCAAGATGAGTGGGCCAAAATTCCTCCACAGCGCTGTGGCAGACTCATGGCAAGTTATCGAAAACGCTTGATTGCAGTTGTTGCTGCTAAGGGTGGCCCAACCAGTTATTCGGTTTAGGGGGCAAACACTTATTCACACAGGGCTTTGTAGTTTTGGATTTTGTTTTCCCTTAATAATAAAAACCTTCATTTAAAAACTGCATGATGTGTTTACTTGTGTTATCTTTGACTAATATTTAAATTTGTTTGATGATCTGAAACATTACAGTGTGACAAACATGCAAAAAGATAAGAAATCAGTAAGGGGGCAAATACTTTTTCACACCACTGTAAGTACACAAAAACCAGAAAATCTAGAGAAAAAAATATGAAAGAAGTGGTTGTCTTTCTGTGCTCATCGGGCCATGTGTATTTCTGATCATAGTCAAGGTGAGCTCAGCCTTCTCAGAGAAGCGTCGGCAGGCTGTGGAGGAGCCCTGCTAGGTGAAAGTGTATGGAGTCACTGCATGGTTGTCTTTTGTCTCTGTGTGCTGACAAAAGAAGTCTGGTACATAAAACTACAAACTGTCAGTTTTACAGTTATTTCAGTTTGAGAGAACCAGACTAGTTGTTTCCCCACTTTATGCTAAGCTAAGTGTGACAGATGCTTAGATGAATGTCTGATTAAAAACTGAGGCTACTTAAATTTCTCATTCTGCTTTGTGTTTCTGCTTTAATTCTTTCAGACAGGCTAAGGCCCATTACTAATGTCAGGCTTGTGTTAGTGGGACCAAAGGGTGCTGGGAAGACGTCAGCACTAAACCCAATCCTGAGCAGGGAGACAAGCCAGCTGCTCAGCACAACAGCCCAGTGCCTGGTTGGAAAAGGAGTAGTGTTTGGGAGAGCGGTGACTGTGGTGGACACACCAGGCTGGTGGATGAAATACTTCTGTGAAGAGACCACCATCTTTGATTAGAGGGAGGTGGTGTTTAGTTTGTCTCTCTGTCCTCCTGGGCCTCATGTCTTCCTGCTGGTGATCCATGTGGACAGAACCTACAGGAGAGCAGTGCAGGAACATCTCCAGCTGATCAGCGACCACATCTGGAGTCGTGTCATTGTGTCGTTTAGTTTTGGGAACTGGCTGGCCGGGAACGCCGCCCAGCAATAAAATATAAAATTG